AGAAATTGATTTTAAAATAACCAAAAAAAGATATTGGGTTACATGCCTTGGGTTAAACACATTTATTGTAGTAATAGTTTATAAGCATTTCATTTATGTAAATATTGTACACCAAGAAAATTATTTAATAATATTGGATAAATTTTTTTTTCTAAAACATTTTAAAAGTAATATAAAAATATATATATATATATACACACATTTGAACAATGTATTGTATCATAAATTTTTAACACACATTTAACGCTTCATAAATTTGCATATAATACAAATTATTGTATAAATTTATGTATTTTACTGTATATACTGTACTTAACTATTAAATGTTGTATAGAGTTTTTAAATATAATTTATTATGTTAATTAATTTTATTTAAAATGTATAGATAATATAATGATATTATTTTTATTTTTCTCAATATAAATTAGAAACTAATTTATTATAATAATTTTTATTATATAATTATTATAAGCTATCATAATTGAAATATCATAATAATAATTTTTGTTCTTATTTTATTATTAAATAAATAATAAATTTTACTATAATATTATATTTTTATTTAAGAATATGTATAATATATTTAATACACATATAATTAATACAGAAATCATAAACTCTATTAATATGATCTTTATATATAAATAATATTAAATATCCATATCATTAGTTGATTACCATTCATATATTAAATCAACTATTTATGTCTTTAACTATAAATACTTTTTGTATATAAATACTTAAATATAAAGTATAATAAATTAATATTTCTTTGGTTTGCAATATATTATTGATGTCTTTCTTCAGACGACATTTGACTCGTTAAACACACACAACATATGTGCTAAAAATGTTTTAATATATACCTAATGAGAGTTTGCTTTTTTGTAAAAAAATGTTTGTAATAAGTTTATTGCATTGAATAATAATGTTAGACCACTTTAATGCATATAATAATCAATCATAAATTTCACTGAAATATGTTTTACAAGATTGTCAATTAATAGTTCCTTTTATGGTAAATATATTTTATATTTTTTATTATATCTTTTTTATAAAAAGTATTTTTTTATAAAAATTGCTTAGAGGCTCATGGGACAAGGTTATATTTGAGATCAATATATATATATATAACTCATATTTAGTAAATGGCAAAAAAGAGAAATTTCTAAAATAATAGACAAATTTTTAGAAAGTTTCTAAAAGAAAATTTCTGTCTATTTGATCTTCATGTTAATGTTAATTTTGTTTTATCATTATTAGTTATCTTTTACCAATACATTTTGATTACAAATAATAGTTAAATATTATTATTATTAGTATTTTAATTAATAATTAATGTAAAAAATTAATCTTTTTTTATTATATTAAACTAAAAACAATTAAATAATTAATAAAATTTTACAAAACTATAATTTTTTATATAGGGATCCAATTTGTATATAATTCATGTATTGTTATATTAGTATTACAATGGCTACATATATGTGAATCCTATAGTAAATTTTTAAGTAGTAACTTTATAATAAGAAAGTAAAATTTCTAAAGAAATTTATTATTGAGAAATTTACTATAAATTTCTATTTACACAACTCTACTCATATTACAGTATATTATAAATAATTTAAACCAATGCTAAAAATTGTATCGTATAAAATAAATTGTTAATTAACAAAATATTGATTAATGTAATATAATATTATGTTAATGAAATATATAAGTATACATATATTAAATAGATAATTTAAGTATAAATAAGTATAAACTATAAATTATTTTTTGGTTTATTTATTAATTATTATAATAATTTCTAACTCAGTTTCTTTTTAATTTTCATATACACACTAACTTTCTCACATAATCACAATGACTGACTGATTAACTAATATTTAATAGCAAATGTTTGCAAAATTGATATTAAATTTCAAAGTTTGACCTAAATTTAAATATCAATTTTTGTCTACTGAAATATAATATATAAAGTTATGGTAATTACTAAATGGATAACATTTGAAATAACACAATTTTATCACAATATATTTGATGCAATAAACATGATTTACTAAAAACAATACTTTCGTTTCAATTTTAATAAATTATTTATTAGTGAAAAAAGTATAAATAAAAAACCACATGTTTTTATTAGATAGAAATTGGTATAAAACAACAAATATCAATACAATGTATTACATTTGGGAATATATTTAAATAGTATTATACGAAAATTTAATCAAATATATATATACAGTATAAATAATACCAATTTATTTGATATTTTATTTGATATTTAATAATAGATTATATAGTAATTTATAATCGTATAAACTATTTGAAACACTGATGATTAAATTTATTAATCATAATAAATAATTTTTATACAATACCTAAATTCTAATATACACACCCATAATTTTATTATTAGATTTTCTAGATATTGATAATATATTAAGTCAATTATATATAATTGATGATAATTGATAAATAAATTTTATCATATAAAAAGTTTTTATGTGATATTATCAAATATTAAATACAAAGAAAATAATTTATTAGACATAAATAGTTTAATTATTACTAACTCTTTAAAAAAAACGTTGAAACAAATACTTCATATGTTATATATTGTAGATATAATGTATACTATAGTGTATTAACTACAATATGTATTATTAATTATGAGTAAAAATTTATATGTAACTAAAATAATAATGTTTACATTAATGAATAATATGGGACCAATTGTTACATTAGCTTTAGGCTTAACTCAACTCTTATTTATTATAAAATATATTATTTTAAGTAAAGCTCTTATTTGTTCATCTAATTAGTTAAAAAATTTGTTTTATCATAAATGCGAAACTATTTTTAAAACTATATTGTTATGACTTTTATGTAACTTATTTTTAGATAACATAAATTTTATTAAGTAAAATACTGTATACAATACTAACTTATAATATTTTATCATTACTATCAGTATATTAATTTACATAATGTAAAGCAAATGACAATATTTTTTAAAAAATATTATTTTGATGTTTTATAATATTGTAAAACTTACAGTTAAACTTGATGTAAAATTTACAAAATATTTAATTATAATTCAATATAATTTTAAATTAATCTATTATATAACCATTTTTAATTATTAGCAATTTTGGATATCGAAAATATATTAACTAATTAGTTCTAATTATAAGCTTAACAAAATCTCAATGACTTTATTTTAAATTAAACTATAGTTTTAATGTTTGAAAATACTTATATTGTTAATAAAGTATTATCTATTTTGAGATTAATTAGATACTTAACTATTTAATGATATATTTGTTTTAATTTATTAAAATAAATTATTTATAGTAAAATAATTTATACTTTCGTAATAGTTTTAATGGACAACTATTATTTATAACATATAATCCAAAAATTTGTTTTCCAGACACAGAATATTCTGTATAAATAACAATTTTTATGCGAATTTTTTGTTGCATTTTATGTAATCCATTAATAATTTGTGAATCCATAATAATTTTGTAGCGCTTGTAATAACTTTACGTGACTTGTTTGTAGATATTTCACATATTATTATTATATTATTACATATTTCTATATTATGTGATAGTTTTAAAATTTGCTAATATGATCTTTATTAATATTATCTAAATTGTAATGTTTATTGAAATTTTAATTTTAAGCACATAATAAATATGTATTTGTTTAGTTGTATAATCCAAAACTTAATAAATAAATCTATTTTCAAAAACTCGCTAATTATGTAATCAAATACTCAAATCCAATAATAGTTTAAATAGTTAACTATTTAATCAATTGATTTCAACATCAATTAAATATAACTTTTGTTATACTATAGAATACTTTGATTTTAATGAAACAGTTTGCTTACCGTATATTCGTTAACCAAAAATCAAACTAAACTTTTACTCTGACTTAAGGCACCGTTACTTTCTTACGTCTCTCTCTCTCTCTCTCTCTCTCTCTCTCTCTCTCTCTCTCTCTCTCTTATCGCTCGCTCTCTCCCTTTCTCTCTCATGTCTTATTCAGAGTCAAACTAGATTTACACACATTCATACAGTGTTTATATTAAATAAATAGTCGATATCAGAGAGGAAGGTCTGATAGCAAACTAATTAAGTTTTATATGATCTATACGTTGAGTTAAAGGACAGATAGACATACACACACACAAACATACATGTTGTTCATCGATTGTAGTCTCACTTATAATACAGTATATACACACAATATATAATATATATATGTATACTATATATGACTGAAATGTCTTATAGACATAAAATGTTATTAAAAACAAGATAAACAAAATAAATGCAAATATATGACTCGTTAATTATATAATATTTTTTGTTGTTGTAATATACTATTCAACTCAACATTGGAATTGCAATCACAGATAATAAAAAATAATGATTTAATTAATTTAAATTAGTCTAATATAGTATAATATAGTATAATATAGTATAATGATGTTTCTGAATATATGATATCAATTCAATTTCGACAATTTTTTCTCATGCAATACCATTACTATTGATAGTAATACTACTACTACTACTACTACTACTCACTCAGTTAATTATTATCCAAGAGGTCGATAATAATTGCCTCACACGTGATGTGAATTGTTAATGCAAATTAGCCAACCTATCGATTTGGACATAAAATATTAATATATTAGTCAAATATTATATATATATCAATATATTGTATATTTTATATATCAGTATTTAACTAAAAAAAACTATTATCAATATATGAAACAATACAATATCTATTTCTACAGCTTGTCTTTTGGGAAGATAGCGCCACCTAAACGGTATAATATAAAAAATTGGTTGACACGTGGTTTTGATTGTTTACATATCAAACCCTTAACCTGCGATTTTCATCTAATTATCTCTAGTCGTGTATAAGATATAACCATTTAAAGAGGTCTGGTCGGAAGTTTTTCGGTGATACCAATGGAGTTATCGGAGGAACACAAACGTGTCATAATTTATTATGAGTTTTTGTCCACACAAGACCCGAACGAAATTCATCGTCGGATGGTGGACAGGTTGGGCAATAATAGCCCTGCTTACAGTACAATCACCAAATGGATCCGACATTTCAAACTCGGTGTACAGTCACTCAAAGATGGCGAAAGAAAAGGTCCGGAAGTTACTGTATCGACCCCTGAAAATGCGGCCGCTGTCGAAAAGATAATAAGAGCAGATCCATGGATCACATACCGTGAGTTAGAGGAAAAGTCAGGCATTCATCGCACAACACTTCAAAAAATATGCACTGATTTGATTGGCGTACGGAAGCGTTTATGTCGGTTTGTTCCTCACTTTCTATCAGATGAACAAAAACAACAACGTGTGAACATTTGCCGAGAAAATCTAAAGATGTGGAAGAATAAGGGACATGTTTTAATTGATAAGATCACTACAGGTGATGAAACATATGTTCACTATTATGAGCCAAAATTGTCACGTGAAGCGAAGATATTTGTGTTTGAAGATGAGGTACCGCCCGATATTGTCAAACGTGATAAAACTATTGGAAAAGTTATGTACGCCGTATTTTTCAATACGGCGGGTTTGGTGGCCGCGGTAAAGTTATGCGGACAGAAGACAGCCACGGCTTTGTGGTACACCACACAATGTCTTCCTAAAGTCATTGAGGGATCTGCAAAAAAAGGAATGCACCACGACAACAGCCGAGTTCATACTGCAAAACTGACTCAAGAGTTTTTGGCCAAAAATAATGTCAAGACTGTACCGCACCCGCCATATTCCCCCGACCTTGCAATGTGTGACTTTTGGTTGTTTAGTGGTCTGAAGCATTTTCTCCGCGGACAAGCATTTAAGACAGAGGAAGAGTTGGACTGCGCGGTGATGGAGTATTTTCACTCCATTTCTGAAGATCGCTATAAAAAAGCTTTCGAGATGTGGAGATCCCGAATGGAGCTATGCATCGAATTAGGAGGTGACTATATTTAAAAAATAAATTTTTTATTTTCATAAATTACGTCTAGTTTTCCTTGTGCTACGTTCCCAAAAGACAAGCTGTATCATCATTAGTATGAAATATTTTATGATATACAGTATTATATCATTATTTAAAAGTTTAACTCTGCAATAGTATATAAATTTAGAGTTATGTTTATATGAAGAATCTTTGAAAGTTTTCTCACTTAAAAGTAAATTATAAGTTGACATAAAAAATGTTTTTATATACTAGAAATGTTTTGATTACTACTTATTTGCAAATTAATCAGTTAGACAGTAATATTTATGAGATTAATAAAACTATTAACATTTTAAAAATATTTATTGACATTTTAAACAAAAAACATATATTCTATATTAGTTTTACTTTAACTATATTCTTATAAATTAAAATATTAAAATATATACAAAAAATTAATATATTGTATCGTATGAATAATAAAAATTTCAAAAGGAGATTTCACAATAATTTTTATAACAATAAAAACAATAGTTATAAATCATTAAATAAAGATCATTAAAACTTATAAGAGTAACTAAAAATAATTATATATTTTTTTAATCAAAAGTACTAATTTAAAATATCAAAACATTTTATCTTTAGTTTATTATATATTTTATCAAAAGTTTTAGAATTTTAAAGTTCAAAACAATTAATTTTTGATTTAGATTACAAAGATATTCTTAATATAAACTTAGTTTAAATTATAACTTTATTTTATTATTCAAATTCATTTATTGTCATAAAATATATAAAAATATAATTTTATGTGAATATACATTACATTATATAAAATATGTGTATATTTATTCTGTATTAGAAGTAAACGTTAAAAACGATATAAATATTTAGTGGTATTAACATTGAAATTAATATTTTATGCAAATGACCAAACAGTACAACAATTAGCTTATAGTCAATGAATTTTTTAATATGTTTTGTCAGATTACAGTATTCAATATTGTATTTTATACACATAATAGTAACTAAAAATTGTTAACAATAAGTATTTAATAATTGCTAAAACAATTTTAATCATAATTTTAAATATTAATATTAATTAATTGGCAAAGTATTCTACAAATTTTGCAATAAAAAGTAGCCATTAAATAATTATTGTTTTATAATTATTTTTGTAAAATTGTCACAATTATAGCCAATATTATAATTGAGTAGAAATAATGATTTTACTATTGTTAAAATAATTGAGTAATAACAACATATAATGAAATACATAATGTTATAATTAAAATTCATAATATAAATTAAATACTGTATAATATTAATACAATGAATGTATTTTAAATATGATATTATCTACAGTTTAAATAGAGTATATTTTTTTGTATGCGTGACATTACTTATATTTAAATGATTATTTGCATTTACAGTTTATCTATCAGATATTTTTGTTTTTATCATTATTTTTATTGAATCCAACAATTTGTTAGACTAATAGATATATTTATGATTAATTTGTCAATTAATTGAAAATTAGTATGCAATTATATAATATATAAAATAATAGTAGATGCAACTAATAATGTTAATTAATAAATTTTATACATTTTTATATAATAGAATTTTATCATATTTATCATAAACAATTTTTTTATATTTATAATTATTATTTTAATTATCTAATTTTATATTTGCATTGGTATAATAAACAAAAACAATAATAAAAATATAATATATGAGTGTGTAGTTTACGGTTATAAACATACTGTATATTGTGTAACAAATATATATCATATATCATATAAAACATCTATGAATTATACAATGTATTGTATTATAACATTACTATTATTTATGACTATCATATCAAAACAACAGTATAATTGTTATTCACTATAATTTATTTTTATTTTTTATTTGGTAAATAAAACAATATAAACAAACAAATATAGTAATAATAATAAAAATTTTATAAAGATATCGTAGCATAAAAATTTATTTTAATACGCTTTAGCAAACAATTTAAAATGATTAAATATTATTAAATAGTTTTAAAATATTGACATTTCTATCCTACATATTAGTAAATAAAAAATATATTATTATCATATTTGTATTTAATATGTACATATATGTAAAATGTGTTTAAGTAAACTTTTATACTTTTAATAAAATATTTTTAAAACAATAACAATAAACAATATTTAAAAAAACATGAAATATTTTATTTAGTTTTACATTTATTTTTTAAATTTATAATCTAGATAATTAATAAAAATGTGATTATTAATAATGATTAAAAAATCGTATATTATACTATCATAGTAAACATTTAAACCAAACAATATTCAATTTATTTTTTTTATTACTTAGATTGTTATTTACTTCTATTAATATTTAGTATAATATTATTTATAGCACACAAAATTAAATATGTATTGTTTTATTTAATAAATATGGTTTTAATAAATATTAGTTTACTATTACAAAATTAATTAATTAAACTATTTGTTTAAATTAATTTGTTTCAAGTAAAATTAAAATATATTGAATTTACTGATAATAATAATTATTAGAAATGATAAAAAAATAATCATAAATATACTGTACACTTTATTTAAATAACCATGGTAACTGATAATTATTTTATCATATAAAACCAATAATTTTAATCATAATAATAGACTCTATTGTATCAATAAACTCATTTAATAAACATTATATGCATACAAAATGTGTATATTATTATAATACCGGTTATGTATATTATTAACTTTATGTGAAACTAACAATTAAGTTTACGTAAACATAATATGATACCTAATATTTACAAAACTATTAATCATTATATTTATTGTATAGTATGTTATTTTTATGAAAATAATAATATAATACACTACTAATAGTAATTTTTTTTATTAAAATTAATTACTTAATTAAACAGTTTTAAAATTTATTTTTTATATATTATTAATTTCAATAAAAAATTATATATTTTTGTAAAAACAAGAATATTGTAAATTAAATTCTTGTAATTCCAAAATTATAATAATTTATTTTTGTTGATTTTTATGATAAATAAAAATTGTTTATGAAACATAATTTATTTATTATATAATTGGTAAATATTTATTTAAACATTTTCATTTTATTTAATTGTTTATCAAATTAATAATTTGTAAAATTCTTAAATTATAAAAATAATGAAAGTATTATTTTTTTCATTTATATATAAAGGTTTAACAATTTAATCATTTAACGTATTTGTAATATTAGACATTTGATTTAGCAAAAGTGCTGCAAACCTTATATTAATTTTAATTTTTTTTATGTTGAAAATCTATAGTTAGGTAATTGAATACAAACATAAAGAATTGAATTAAATTTTGATTTTAAATATTATTTTTATTATTGAAAAACATTTTCAAGTATTGAATTTCATGTGATTTGATGGTCGAAATAAATATATAAATCTAATTTATTGACAATATTTTGTCGCCAAAAATATTTATATAAAAACAAAATCACTTCAATAAAATAATTTAATAAATTCACTGTTACATCGGTTTTACAGAAATATTATATAAGTTTTTATATAAATGATATAAAATCTTTATCATAAGTAATGAGACAAGTTTTTTAGCAAAATTTTTTATGAAAGAGTTAATTATTGTTTTATAATCGGTTGTAGGTCTCATACCGACCCACGCATAACTACCGGTACCTCCTATTCCTCCTCTACGTTGTGGTCAAACAATAGATAATATACATTATAAAAATATAATGGAGAATTTTATTTTACTAAAAATTATTTTTAATAAATGATTTATTATAAATTAGATATTTTCATAACAATCATAGCCATTTTATTTTTTTTTATTTTGAAATTTACAAATTATCATGTTTTTATTAATTTTGCAAGTCAACTAGATAATTTTAGTAAAATTCTGAAACACGTATCTAATTATATTTTATTTAATTTATTTCGTTATTTATTAGTATTTAAGTACTTATTTTAGTTTTTTGAGATATTGAACCTCACTGAGCCTGCATACCGGTGCAACAATACATAAAAACTTAATATATATTTACATTGATATAAATAGTAATAAACCAGTTGCAAAAAAATCATTTTGACCTAGGTATTCCTTCATAATATTATATCCTTCAAAATATTTTTGCTAAAAAACCACTCTCACTACTTTAGAGACAGGTTTATATATATATATAGTAAATAAAAAATTAATTTTTAATTTAAATTCACTTATATATATGTAATATAATAAATATATAAATTCAATTGTATATAGAAATCTGTATGAAATGTTTTTATTTGCTTTATCAGTATTTTTATTTTTATAATATTTTTTATTATATTTATATTGAATTTCTTTTATTCCAAGAATTAAACATTAAATGTCAATTAATACAATTGAATTTACTTTTAATGTAAGCATTCAAATAAATTAATTATTATAATAAAAACAAATTTATTTTTTATCTGTATATTTGTATAAATATTTATTATTATATATAGTATGCTTTAAACTATTACAATAAATAATTTATATTCACTTAAGTTATTAGTATATTTGTATACCAAATAAATTTAAATAGAAAAATAAATTATATAATACATTCCGTTAACATTTGTTTTAATAAATTAAATATTATTTATTTATTATTAGTATCTTACATATAATATAATATTCAAAAAGCACATAATTGTTAATCAATGACTATAGTATTGATATTTTTATTTTTTAGATTTAAAAGTTTGTTGACAAAAATTATTAAAGTTTGCTAACATTAATATACATTGTTTGAATAGATTTTTATTTGTTAGTTAATAAATAAAATACATTTCTATTCTTAATATTTATAACTCGTTAAAAATTTCATATAAATTAACAAATGAAAAAACCAAAAAATAAATAAAAAACTACTTTTATATCATAAAAATATTAACTTTGATTTTGTTGTTCAAACCATTGCTCACAAATTATATCTCTTTAATCAGTTATAACAA